ATATATATATATGCGTATGCATATATGATATACCAAACACATGACATGTCCTGCCACCTTACACAATGCCACACTTTGAAAGCCGTACAGGACACTCGCATGCAAACACTGACGTTTTCAATTAGTCTGTCCTTTTTAAAAGTTCTCATCCTCCGTCCCAAAAATGGGCATTTGTCCCGAACGGACAGACGGACCTTTCCATCCCGGAGACTGAATTCCCATCTCTGCTTTATTGTATGTACTGAATTTATGCTACTTGTGCCGTTATTCTTAATAGTTTTTCCTATTCTGTTTTATTTGGACTCAATTAGAATAAACAGATGTATTTATTGTCTTTAACATTGGATTTAACTCCACCACTTTAGTTAAGTTCCCCTTTAATGTGTCATTTTTGGACTAATGCCTTACATCTAGGTTGTAACAGGTCCCTTGATGGTAATTTTCTCAGGCAATTGACTTTTGAATCATTAGAAGAGGCCTTCTCTTTGAATCACCGTGCATAGCTGGGCAGCTGCAACCTCTTGTGAGAATGCGTTGCAACTGTTGGTGAAGACTCTGACTAAATATAACCGAAATAGTCCAAAATAGCAAATGTCAAACAAATACTGTTTGAACTAGCGTGACCATTTTTATGATGTTGTATATTGAAGTAGAATGAGAATATTATTAAGTAGAAGACATTTACTGTATTTATATATATATATATTTTCTCCATGACTACTCTCCATCCCTTTTACAAATCAGCCCCGGCTTCTGTCTCTCTCAGTGTAGGTAAAATATTTGGAGTTCAGAAAGGAGCGAATGGCTGTTAATAACAAAAACAGTGAGGGAGAGTATACTAAATATGCAGACCTCCTTTCTCTGACCACAAGTAGTTCGACACAAGTAAATCCATCGGCCAGCCCTTGTGTAAACTTCTGACACTGTGACTGTAAGTAAACTATCCTCAGTGAGAGGATTTCTCATTGCTTCATCTTATTGTGGTAAAACATACCAGATTTCTGCTGTTTCATTTTGTTATGTTCTACGAATTTTCAGTCTGGCCACGAATGAGCGGTGACTCGAATAGAGAAGCTAATTGGCCGTTAAAAACGAACGTCAAAAAGTCCGACTTCGTCGTGCCAAAACAATACTAACTGACTCGTAGTTTCCAGTGACATTTCTTCCTTCACTCTCACCCGCCCTCCAACATCCTCTCTTGTTACCTTCACAGCCCTCCCAGACTATGATGGAAAACCACAGAAGTTGAGGTTGCTGCAGTATGTACGTGGGGCGTGCACGTTGTGTATGAAAGTGCGCTGCGCTAGCGCATTGGTGTATATGGTGTATATGTTTTCCAAAAAGTGAATATGAGGCTCGCTAAAGCGCTTTGGACAACATATGGTGTGGATAAAGCGTGATATTTGTCCATTTTATTCACCATTATGATCAAATTGGATTTTTCATTTGTTGCATGGTGATGCGTTTGCACGCGTACAGTTGACAACCCATTCAAGTTGATTTAAGATTCGCTGGTTGAACGGTAAACGAAAGCAAAGCTTTTGGTTGTGCATTCGAGCTGTAATGAATAGCCACCCAATTTATGGATGTTTGTCCCTCAATATGGTGAGAAGGAGGGTATAACCTGAACTGGTCGCCAATCGGTCATAAAGCCACAAATAGACCAACAACCATTCACACTTCTATAGATAAAGAGTCTTGAATTAACCCAACAAGCAAGAATTTGGAATGTTGGAGGAAGTCAGAGTACCTGGACAAAACTCCACTCACTTGATTTTTCAAATAGGCATCTGCTATTAGCTGCTAGCCTTATCTGCGCATTAACTAGCTTGCGACAGGCTAGCTGCGATTTACTTAAGGTACATGCAGTACCTTGTGTTTGGACTCGTAGTGGTTAAAATATTCAGTTTTATTTTCATGACTATATTGTGCTTCTTCGAACACTGAACACTAATATTTTATCCAAGTCATTTTACGTCCACATTTAATCCAAGATAAGATTCACATTTTCACCATCCAAAAAGTTTTTGGATGGTGAAAATTTGAATCTTATCAGAGACTATTCAAAGACTTTCAATAAAAGTTATGAGAATAAAAACTTTCTATTGCCAGGAAAAAAAATAGTGGTTTTTAAGAAATGTATTATATTTGCAGTTTTAAAGCTTAATATTTCAACTTTTATGACTATTTCTTATTTCTTTTCAGTGTGGGCAGGTATTATTGTACACTGGATTCATCCAATCTTGTTTATTTCTTTGGGAACAATATGTTGACCTCCAAGGTTTCTGCTCCAAAAAATGTGTGATTTCTGCAAATCAAAGTTTTTTTGTTGTTCTTGTATTCGTGTTTTTTTTTTTCCTAACCTAACATCCTTACACCCTCATAAGAACATTCTGTCTCCAGAGTTGGATCAAAGGTCGCAGCCTACAGTGGTTGCAGAACAAAGTTAAAACATGCATTGTTGTTTGACGGCGCCTTTGACGCACTTCCCCTTCAAGCTGTCTTCTCCGCGTGTCTGAGCTAAATTTGTGGCTTTCCTGATGTGTTGGCAGAAGTGAAACTCAAAGCACCATCGGAACACACATACAGGAAGCGAAGGTACAGTGTACACAATGAAGAATGGTTGAGGGGGTTGCAGCAGACATCAAACGTCTGCTTTGTTGTAAGACATTGCAGCAAAAAATCACACCGCGGCAAAGGTGAAGCCACATTGAATGTTATTTCTTGTCAGGAATACATTTAAAATATTTGTGGCGAAAGCAAAATGTGTCCATCAAATGTCATACTTTCTATTAGAAACTAAATCCAATGTAGTTTGATATCAACTTAAAGGGCAGAAAAAGGCAAAACGTCCGACCAAACGGAGCTTTATTTAATACGTCACATGCATTCACCTTCATGACATTTGGTACAAAAAGAGCAATAACAAGAACTGTACAGTGAAAAGAACAGAATATAAATGACATTTTGATATTACACAGCAGGGACTTCAAGTTAAAGTGCTGCATAGTTTTGCTACAGAGAAAGCCTCCTTAAAAAGCATGCCAGAGGAATCGGGGCGAGTTCCTGGTTTAGTACATGCAGTTGGGAATTTCAAATGAGGCATAAACATATTTGGGGGACTGGAGGCACACTTCGTCTGCCAGACAGATGGAGGTCTTATCGAGATTTGGGAATATGTCACACATCTTGAAGACGATGCTGCGGGCCCATCGTCATTCGCGGACAAGGACGCAACGTCGTCAGGGGGTCTTGGGCCTCTTCTTTTTACAGATGAAACGCCCTTTTAATTCTAATCTTAACCTTTTCCCCTAAAGCGGCGAGAGCGGGGCTCGCCCCGCTCAAACGTGCTTTGCTGTAGATCCGTCCTTCTGCTCGGCGGCAGTCGGCCGTGTTGCCCCCTCCTGCAGCCTGTTTTCTCCTCCTCTCGACGGGGCTCTTCACATCTCTGCGATTGAAAAGAGATGGGGAGGATGCTCAGGAGGCAGATGAGGAGAGGGGCATATTGGATCTCACGCCAACGTGTGGACTGAAATGAGTGTTTTGAAGTTAAAGGGGTGAAATGATTAATTTGTAATATTCACAATCTTTGTGGTGACAGCGCTTGTCATGAAATAGCCATGCTCTGCTGCTCACAGAAGAAGAAAAATCATCTTCAGTGTTATAATAAAATGCATATTCATGAAATTTGTCATCGGGCTTTTCATCCATCACAGTAGTGAACAGAGGAAACACGCATCAAGAAAATATATGTTGCGACTGAGCAAGATTTTATAATTTGGAACTTGTTCACCCAAAGTCGAGGCTTGACTTGCTTGACTTTTGCCGCAGTCATTTGGATTTACTTGAAATTTGAAGGTTAAAACACTGAACTGACTTATGATTTGCTCATGGTGTATGTGACTCCTCGCACCTCTGCCCATTGGATGAAGTCAAGAAACAGGTAAGGTATATTATTATTATTACGTGTCTGTATGAGTGCGTCGTCTGCTTTGGCTTGCCCAAAATAATCTGAGTGATAGATTTTTTTATATTTTTTTTTTCTGAGACTGAGTAATGTTTCTTTGCTTCTTCCACTAACACTTCCAATTCCAGCACTTCAAATTTAGTTTTGTGCTTGTACTGCTTCCTCAAATTTTCCACGGTGATACATCAAAGCTACCTGAAGTGCAAAAGCCTCTTTTAGAAAGGCCATTCCCCACCACTTTTCCACCTGTTGCCAATGATGCCTCAATCTGTTCATGTAAACACACAATTTACTGCCTGTTATCTTAGGAAATCAGAACCGCAAGAGGTGCTCAGAGACTCCAAGAATGAGGATGGTACACGATGCGTGTGACTTCACCCACAACTACTATGGCTTTTCGTGTGTAAGTGTGTCAGGAAAGAATACCAAAAAAGATTGAGTGATAGAAGTTCTAATTTCCTTAACTACACACCAGCAAGTTCCCGGTCCAACACATCAATGAAGCTCTCCAGCTCCCTCGTGTCTCCCAGCTTGGCTGCAAAAAGAGGACAGAGAGAAAAGGAATTAAAAAAAAAAAAAAAAACAGAGCAATGGAAAGATTTTGAAGCAAGCTCATTTCTTTGGTATTTCCATTGGAACAACTGCTGTGAAGTAACAGAATATCAGATGAACTGCTTTTAGACAAGGAAAATATTCACTTTTTTTTTTTCAACAAACTGAGTTAAAGTTCATCCCCAAAACTTGACAGATTGCAGCCTCCCACAGAGATCTGTCTGCATCACTTTGTGACGTGGAATCAGAGTAAGCGGCCCCTCCGGGTCACCCTTGTTTTGCTTCCATTGATATGTAAAAGTCCTCGCTGTGTATGCGTATGCGGGCAAATACACCTGCATTTGCACCTATACAAGATACAGCACTGTGACATGGCACAAAAGGCCCTGCAGGAGACACCACATCCACAGACACGCTGTTGTGTAAAGCAAAAAAACCAAAAAAAAACAAAGGCAAACAACATCGCTTTAGGTGCCAAACATGATAGTGATCACAGCGAGAACAAACACGATCTGGACGAAGATCTGCATATGCATACCTTTTGGTGTCAGCGTTAAGCCTGCTGTGTGCAGCTCTTCCTCGCTGGTGTTCAAACTGTTGCCCAGAGAAGCTTCACTGCCTGCGAGGAACAACAATTACCACTTAGAAGACCGCACATATACAGTATTTACTGTGTATATACATGATGTGGTTGGCCATGTTTGTTTGGCCACCTGTTTTTTTTTTAAGTAAGAAAGCTACTTTCGGATTGATGAGGGACGACTCCATCGAAGCCATTTTGGCTGAAAATCAACAAATTCTTCATTTACGCAGAGCCTCTCCAACGTAATGGTTGCCCCCCTGGCACATGCACATACAGTACCTATGGCAGTTTTTTTTTTTTTTTTGAAACCTCAGCTATTTACATTTGACTTTAGTTTAGTTTCGTTTTGATATCGAAATGACATGCATCATTGCACTTTGCTTACACCAAAATATTGATTTCATTCACCTGTGTGTTTAACATACAAACTCCAACACATTCAATATATTCCAATTCCTGAAGCATCAAATGAGGGAACATTTCATACTCCACCTGCATCCCCACTTCAGGGATCTTCATTACACAAATGCACTGCAGTCATTGCTAATTATTTGATGCAAACCTTACGCTGTTAATTAAACGCACTGAGATGACGTTGATTCAGCAAATACTATTTTATAGTTTTTTTTCTTCAGTCAAGAATTACCTCTGTTTCGTGCACCAAGCAGTGCCTTATGCTGCAGGCTGGTAAATGAGAATACAAATGCGTTCTGTGACTCCCAAGATGTTGCTTTTATGTCACAGGCCTCCCATATGGAACATTAGAGGTCAAAACACATTCAATGACGATCACAAAAGGGAGCAAAAGGACATATTTGTTTCTTTTGTCTCATGAACGTTGGTGATTGCATAACAGCAAGAAAAGAAATTGAAAGACTTATTATGCTATTAACAGGCATTATTATTCGAGATGTAACATGTTGGTAGCGTAACACCCATCCATTACCCAAGGGTCATGGGCATGCTAGAACCCATCCCAGCTATCTTTGGGCAGTAGGCGGGGGTACGCCCTGAACTGGGTACCAGCCAATCGCAGGACACATATAGACAAAGAACCATCCGCACTCATAATCACAACTAGGGACAATTTTGAGTGTTCAATGAACCTGCCATGCATGTTTTTTGCAATGTGGGAGGAAAATGGAGTACCTAGAGAAAACCCACGCAGGCACGGGGAGAACATCAAAACCTCCACACAGGAAAGCCGGCGCATGGATTCAAACCCTGGACCTCTACACTGTGAGGCCAACATGCTAACCAGTGGACCACCGTGCCACCATCGGTGCCACTCATTCAATGCAAATTAAAAGGACAAACCTTCGAGGACTTCTGAAAGTGGACTATTCTTCCCACATATATCAATATTGGATTTTAGAAGTTGATCATTTTTCTTACCGTAATCAGAGTCTTCGACCCCGCTGTCATCCCCCAGTGCCGTGCGGCTCTTGGCCTCCATCAGCACGTGCTGGTATGCGTGTAGGCTGCTTTGAGGGGGGGCCTGCAGCTCATTCACCACATCCTGGAACTCTTGCAGCAGATCATGCAGCTCCAGCTCCAAGTCTGAATGGAAAATGTGACGCCGCTTTATGACAAATTACCAAAGAGTGTGAGCGCGTGGAGGAAACTTCATCACAACCGTTTTTTAGATTGAATATAAGTGCTAGTAAGCAGTGTTGTTTTTTTAAAAATCACCTATGGTGTTTTGACGGTCATACAGAAAAAATATCTTCAGGATTTTGAGACTGATATGAAATGAAGCCGAAGTCAACACTGGAAGGTAGGTTGGTTGGAGTGCAAGTGGGCGAATAAACAAACTGTTAAAAGTGTTACACTGATAATAATATTTGAAGCAAAGCTGAAACGTAAGCCGTGGGCTGCAGTACAATGGCATTTTTTGCAATTACAATCCAACATTTAAAGATAAGCACATTTCTTATTTCCTTGAAAAGAAGAAAGCAGTCCCATGTGGACTATACTGATGATAAGACATTGAGAAATCCATTTGGAATCTAAATATATGCCCACAATTTTGGGAAGGAAAAAAACTTGTGGAATGACTGTGGTGCAAATAAAAACGAAAAGTGGAAAATGTGACAAATGAAACATTACAGCTGTGATAAAAAAAAAAACAAAAGACGAGGTGGGCAAAAAGTGAACAGTTTAAATACGATGTGACTGGGCTAGAAATAGGTTTTAAGAACGTCAAATACAGCTTACAGCTTCTCGGAGAACATTTCTATTGGTGGCTGCCTCTTCTTAAATGGCTATCTGATCCCCATCAGTGCACCACTTGAAAACTAATGGCTCATATAGATGCTGGACTCACCTGAAGTCACTCCTGAGGACATAGTGGCGCAAATCTAGGGAAGAAACAGACAGCAGACTGCTGGGATCAAGGCGTTTCAAGGCTGACTGGAGCTGACCGGAGTTCTCTTATACTGAGCTGAGAAAGGGGGAAGGAGGAGCCAGACCGAGGCAGGAAAACTTGACTTTTACTGTAAGTGGAAAGAAATGGGGGGGAAAGACAAAACAGCACAGACATACAGGGAAGGGCTATTACGCAACTTAGGCTGAGGCTAAAATGTTTTTTCCTTTGAAATACGTGCTGCGGAATTCCTCCTTTCACTTCCTTAGAATGCTTCATAGCATTGATAGCAATGTATTAAACGATGAAAATTATAATTATCGGTGCAATATGTGCGCCCAATATCCCCTAATAGGCACCCAAATGCTTTGGAAAATTTAAAGTGCCTTTTTGTAAATATGCATTTTTTTTTTTCTGATGAGTTCAACAATAAGTCAAGCCGGACCAGACATGATGTTGCTTGACGCAGATCCACGTAATGGGTGCTGAAATCCCAGCGCCCTCTCTATAATACCTCAGCAATATCTTTGGTACTGGACTCTCAAACTTTTAATGAGCATCTCCGGTCTCCGGACTCGGCATCAGGAAATAACACAAGAAAGATAAACGAATAAACTCAATCGTGCTCATCTAAATAGGCATAAATATATTTTCAATTTTAAAAAAATTTTGTTCGTGAAATGAAATAAAAAAAATTTTTTTTTTGAAAAAAAAAAAGAAAAACTACTGATTATGTTTACAAAATTAACTGTAACTGAAGCAAAAATGTCCATATTAGCCTTTGTCAGTTTATATAATGAACAAGTTTTGGGGGTTCATTTCAAACATATGTTATTTATTTCGGTACGGTGGCGCATCCGTTGCGACGGAAAAAGGAAGGTCAAACAGTTGGTTGACAATTGTAGTTTAGTTTACATCATCAAGTAAAGTTAGCACTCAACAAATACTCCATATTTTGAAAAAAATATTAAAACAAATAATAAAACATGTATGAAAATAAACAAAATCAAAGCGTTATCAAAAATATAGAAACTAACAAACTTGGGAAGTCGAAGTCTGAGGACGAATGCAAGTCGATGCGCTGAAACGAGGAAGTGAGGAAGTGAAAAGGATGGTGAAAACAAATAATAAAACATGTATGAAAATAAACAAAATCAAAGCGTTATCAAAAATATAGAAACTAACAAACTTGGGAAGTCGAAGTCTGAGGACGAATGCAAGTCGATGCGCTGAAACGAGGAAGTGAGGAAGTGAAAAGGATGGTGAAATGTAGCAGCCGCTTCAAGGATAAAACTGCAATGATAATTATGGTTCACTGCCAGAGGCGCCACTTCCTGGTTGTGTTTCCCCAACTGCTGCTCCTGTACATCACTTGGTGACTCGGTTAATAGTGACTTCATTTGTCTTATTCCAATCTCACTGGAAATGGACTCCAACCCTCCCGTCAAAGGTTGTCAACATAAGTAATGGGATGAATGCTGAATGCGAGCGAATGCGGCTGAATTTGACACATTTATCCTATCGAATGTGCTTTCTAGAGTGGGAAAATATATGCATTAAAACGGTCTTTCATGAGAAATGACCGAATTGAGATCATTACTTTTAATGACATCTTGAGCTGCGCAGGTATGTGTTGCCGCCTCTGCGCTTAAGGATTCTCTTGCTGCTAGGGAACATGGGTAGCTTGTGAGGTAATGGGGATTGTGAATCTCTTTACTGGGCTGAAATACAGCAGGTCAGTCAAGAGTCAAGTCGGAAGAAATGCCATGCATATCAACTTCTTGTGGCGTCTCGTTACCGTGTGACAGGGAGAATCCCGCTGCGTTGTTAATCACTTCATGCGCACCTTCACAAAAACACAAACGTACTTAAGATGTGCTGGTGCTGTGGAAGAGGAGTTTGGTGGGAGTAAGTACATGACTGTGAGTCGGGAAGACACCCCATTTCCTTCATTATACAGATGCTCAGCTCTCTTTAAATGTTAAGAGAGCTGAGCACTCGGGCATGAAGTTGAAACTTTATCTCTACCTGGGAAAACTCCAGTAGGCGGTCAGGCTGAAATAAAACAAGGATGTCAAATCATGAGAAAAATGAAATACAGTTTTTTTTCCTTTTTTTGTGTGTGAAGAGGGGTGGGGTGTGGGGAGGCGGTGGGATAACACATACTTCTCACAGCTGGTTCTTTCCCTCATAAGAATCTGCTGGTTGCGGGCCTTCCAGACAGCATACGTGGAAGAAAAGGAGTGAGGCATGTTGGCCAGCTCACTAACTCTTTCCAGATCCGGACCAGTTTGTGACTCAGGAATATCGGCGGATAGATGCAGCAGAGGGAATTTCAACACCGCTGAGCAGCAGATGGATTGTGAAGCAGGCTTCCTCCCGGGGACTAAATCAAGAGATGCGTTCTTGCACACAATGTCATGTGACCCTCAGAAGACCTTGCACAGTTTATCACAAACATCAATAAGTGGGAGAATGTACCGTATGGTAACATTTAGCAAGATGGTGTATGTTGCAGAATTACTAATCGTGGTGTTTTTATCATGAAGTGTAAGTGGGATGGAGGTATTTTAGCAAGCCATGAAAATATGATGACATCATACCATGATAATAATGTGACAGCGTAACAAAGAAAAGGAATGCGACAAAGTAAACACTTGACAACAATGGTGGACATTTTTTGTTGCGCTGCTTGGCATGTGTCCTTCCTCATCCCATTGTCTCATAGAGGAGACAATTCTATCAACTGCTGACATGATTTAAGTGTCTAGCTCCACCCTTTAAGCACTTCTCTGATGGCCCAAAAATTGCATTCAGACCGGGGTGATAGTCGATTTGGAGTTTTCATGATAGCTAGTTCCTTAGTTCGTTCTTGTGTTTTGACTTTTTTTTTTTTTTTTTTTAATTCAGTCAGTGTTAGTTTTATTTCCTTTAATGTTTCGTTTGAGTTTAGTTTTAGTATATTCTTTTCATTTTTTAATATAAAATTTTTTTGAGCGCAAAATAAAGATAAAAAGGGTCATAAAGTTAAAAAAAAAAAAAACTACAGTTCCTAAGCAACTGTTCAACCTCTATTCTTCAGTCCAGTAAATACCAAAATAAATATATTAAAAATAAACCAGAGAGCTCATATATAAAATTAACCCTTTGAGGGACAGCGGTTACTACAGTGGACAGCTTATCATGTTATCAGGTTACAGGGTGCATGAGAGGGTTAATTGAGAAAGATGAAAACAAAGGGCATTTTCGCTACAATTATAGTTAGTCTTTTTTTTTTCTTTCAACACTCATTTTTATTTTATTTTGTTGATAAAAGCTTTTTTACACTTTTAATTTTGGTTATGACGTTACGTTTTCATGAACCATAAGTGAGCCTGATCCAAATTGAACTGTACTTTGTAGAAGATCAGCAATGCCAATCACTATACCTACCACTATACCTACAACTGTAACTGTGTTCGAGAACCACAAGGAAGGCTCTCGAGCTGCGACTTGAAATGAGGTCACTTTATCATGCAAATAATTAATCACATTTCAGAAGTGGTCACTTTAACTACTTCGGTAAATATAATAGTCACAGTGTGATGTGTCATCACACACCCACTTCCTTCTGCACTTTTATTTCGGAGAGTCCACTTCCAGGGACCTTCTGTGTCTTTTTCCCTTTAATTACCAGGCTGGGCCGGAGGATGCTCCCACACCTGCAGATGATCAGCAATCACCTCCTGCGTATAAGAGCTCTGCTGATCTGCAAGCGGGTGCCAGATGATTCTCACATTATGAGTGGTATCGAGGCCATTGCTAGTGCACACGCTTGCCATTTTTGTATTTTTTGTGCATACTCAATTGTTCTTGTTTGTCTTGTTCCAGTGCCTGCCTCCCTGCCCAGCCTGGCTCCGCATCTTCCTCCCCGGACCACTTGACCCTGCACCCATCCTTCCCCCATCTCCTTCGCTTTTGGATCCTCTGCTGTCATTACCTTTGCTACCCATAACACAAAGTGAAAGATGTTACTGACAAGTGTCCAAGATTTTGCCGAGGACGCATCTCCAGAGATGGACCACAGAACATGCTGGTGGCTCAGGTCAGCACCGCAGACCCAGATATACTCCCCCGAGTGTCAAAGTCGGTGTGCAAGCCAAGAAGCTCTTTAGCCTCGACAGCCTTACTGGGCACAGCCGACAACACAACATCCACAGTGGCACACACTGACAAGCTATTGATGTTGTAATGGTTAGCTAGTATCCATGACTACGTCCCACCAAGCACTTGAGTGTCATTCTACTGTATATATTGTCCGGAATACAAAGCAGACACCAGTGATAATTACGACCACAGCAGCCCATCAAAGTAAGACGCATGTGTATCACAGAAGCAGCCTCCACCGAACTGGTGTTCTGGGTGTTGATTGACAGCACCTTTCAAGACACCTCACTTTGAATGTTTTGCTTTTAAACTTTGAGATGTGAGAATGATAAATATCTGCTTCCCACATCAAAGATGTTGTGATGGAAGGTGAACATCTTATTTTATCTGGCAGTGCACTGGTGATTATCTGAAGCTATCTGACATCATTTACATCCAAACATGTCATCCAAACATGTCACAGGGAACGCGTAAACAGTGGGAGGAAAACAACTGACGATTAACATGCAAGCAGCGTACACAAGCTGAACAAACACGGCGCACACATTTGACCACGCTACAGGTCTACTGAGCCCCGCTAGATTCTCGTTTGAGATGCTGTGGACATCAAATTCTGAGGCATTTCTGCAAGTTTTATGTTTCTCCTGGTAGTCTGATTCCACCAACAAATATTCCGGCTGGGATTTGTTAGCTGTTTGTGTAGCTGGGAGCTACACAAACAAGCGCCGAAGTCATATCAAGTATCAAGTCAAGTATCAAGTGCCAAGTACAACTTTATTGTCAAATGTGCTGTATGTGCAACATACAGAACAGATGAAATTTGAAGTTGCTTTCTGTTGTGTTTGTAAATGGTGTCTTTGCTTGTTTGAAACGTGCTCGATAAATAAGACGTCAGCGTTTGTTGTGGGGCAACATATAGGAGAGCATCGTCGCTGCAT